AAATGGGACAGAGAAACCATACAATCCTTTGAATTGTTAAAGAAGGCCTTGATGTTGGCTCCAGCCTTGGGACTCCCAGATGTGAATAATCCGTTTCTCCTCTCCTCTCACGAAAAGCAGGGAATCGCGCTGGGAATACTAGCACAGGATTCAGGTCCATATCCCTGGGGTTGCCTATTTCTCCAATCAATTGGACGCGATTGCAAAGGGATGGCCTGGATGCCTACAAGAGATCGCAACCGCAGTACTGAATATCCAAGAAGCCCGAAAATTTACTCTAGGCCAAAGAATAACTGTGTTGGTATCCCATACCATATCCGCAGTACTGGAAGTAAAAGGCAGGCACTGGCTCTCCCCACAAAGATTCCTGAAATACCAGGCCACCCTGACAGAGCAAGATCATAAGAATCATAGAATAGTTAGGGTTGGAAAGGACCTTAAGATCATCTAGTTCCAACCCCCCTGCCGTGGGCAGGGACACCTCACACTAAACCATGCCACCCAAGGCTTTGTCCAACCTGGCCTTGAACACTGCCAAGAATGGAGCATTCACAACCTCCCTGGGCAACCCATTCCAGTGCCTCACCACCCTGACAGGAAAGAATTTCCTCCTTATATCTAATCTAAACTTGCCCTGTTTAACTTTGAACCCGTTACCCCTTGTCCTATCACTACAGTCCCTAATGAAGAGTCCCACCCCAGCATCCTTATAGAGTCCTCTCCAGATACTGGAAGGCTGCTATAAAGTCTCCACGCGGCCTTCTCTTCTCCAGGCTGAACAGCCCCAACTTTCTCAGCCTGTCTTCATATGGGAGGTGTTCCAGTCCCCTGATCATCCTCGTGGCCCTCCTCTGGACTTGTTCCAACAGTTCCATGTCATTTTTATGTTGAGGACACCAGAACTGCACACAATACTCCAGTGAGGTATCACAAGAGCAGAGTAGAGGGGCAGGATCACCTCCTGCGATCTGCTGGTCACGCTCCTTTTGATGCAGCCCAGGATACGGTTCGCTTTCTGGGCTTCAAGCGCACACTGCCAGCTCATGTTCATTTTCTCATCAACCAACACCCCCAAGTCCTTCTCCGCAGGGCTGCTCTGAATCTCTTCTTTGCCCAACCTGCATCCGTGCATGGGATCGCTTGGAGCCAGGTGTAGGAACTTGCACTTGGCATGGTTAAACTTCATAAGGTTGGCATCAGCCCACCTCACAAGTGGGTCAAGGTCCCTCTGGATGGCATTCCTTCCCTCCAGCATATCAACCACACCACACAGCTTGGTGTCATCGGCAAACTTGCTGAGGGCACACTCAATCCCACTGTCCATGTCAGCGACAAAGATGTTAAACAAGACTGGTCCCAACACCGATCCCTGAGGGACACCACTTGTTACTGATCTCCAGCCAGACATTGAGCCATTGACGACAACTCTATGTATGCAGCCAACCAGCCAGTCCTTTATCCACCGAGTGGTCCATCCATCAAATTGATATCTCTCCAATTTAGAGACAAGGATGTCATGGGGGACAGTGTGGAACGCTATGCACAAGTCCAGGTAGATGACATCAAGTGCTCTACCCCTGTCCATCAGTTCCGTAGCCCCATCATGGAAGGCCATCAAATCGGTCAGGCAGGATTTCCTCTTAGTGAAGCCATGCTGGCTGTCACCAACCATCCTGTTGTTTTACATGTGTCTTAGCATGCCTTCCAGGAGAATCTGCTCCAAGATTTTGCCAGGCATAGGGGTGAGACTGACTGGTCTGTAATTCCCCGGGTCATCCATTTTCCCCTTCTTGAAAATGGGGGTTATATTTCTTTTTTTCCAGTCATTGGGAACTTCACTTGACTGCCATGATTTGTCAAATATGATGGCCAGTGGCTTAGCGACTTAATTTGCCAGCTCCTTCAGGACCCGCGAATGGATTTCATCAGGTCCCATGGACTTGTGTACATTGAGGTTCTTAAGATGGTCTCGAACAAGATCCTCTACTACAGTGGGCCCAAGGTCTTCATTATCACAGTCCCTGTGTCTGCCTTCCAAGACTTGGGTGATGTGGTCATAGCCCTTGCCAGTGAAGACGGAGGCAAAGAAGTCATTAAGAACCTCAGCCTTCTCCAAATCCTGAGTAGCCAATTCTCCCGAGAGCTTCTGGACAGGGCCTACATTGTCCCTAGTCTGTTTTTTATTAGCTACATATTCATAGAATCCCTTCCTGTTATACTTAAGATTCCAAGCCAAGTTTAATTCTAACAGGGCTTTAGCTTTCCTAACCTGGTTCCTAGGTTCCTGGACGACATCCCTGTATTCTTCCCATGCCACCTGTCCTTGCTTCCACCTTTTATAAGCCTCTTTTTTCCTTCGAAGTTTCCTTAGCAGCTCCTTATCCATCCAAGGAGGTCTCCTGGCCCTCCTGCTGCACTTCCTTCTAGTTGGGATGCAACACTCCTGAGCTTGCAGCAGGTGATCTTTGACTATCAACCAAGAGTCTTGGGCCCCACTGCCCTCTTGGGCTATATCCCACGTTCCTAAACAGGCCAAAGTCTGCTCTCTTGAAGTCCAGAGCAGTGAGCTCGCTGCACGCTCTTCTCACTGTCCTGAGGATCTCGAATTTGACGATCCCATGATTGCCGCATCCAAGGCTGCCCTGGAGCGTCACATTTCCAACCAGCCCTTCCCTGTTGGTGAGCATGAGGTCAAGCACAGCACCTCTCCTTGTTGGCTCTTCAGTTACTTGCAGAAGGAAGTTGTCTTCCACACAATTGAGGAATCTCCTGCATTGCTTGTGCTGGGCCATACTGTCGCTCCAACAAATGTCAGGGTGGTTGAAGTCACCCATGAGTACAAGGGCCTGTGAGCATGAGGCTGTTCCTATCTGTCTATGGAGTGCTTCATCCGCAGAGTCCTCTTGATCAGGCAGTCTGTCACAGTTCCCCACAGCAATGTCTCCCATCGCTGTTCTCCCTTTAACCCTGACCCACAAACTCTCTGTCAACTGCTCACCTGTCCCCATGTTGCAGAATGGCGCTAAGAGTAAGGCCATGGATCCTTAGAGGCCTTGTGCGAGCAAAGCAAGGTGTAGGCCTCACAGGTAACCGGAAACCAGATGTGGGAGGAGAATGTGAAGGACGCTGTGTAGAACTAACCAATACTGTGGTGACTAGGAGGCGTGGCTAAACACCATGCCTATATAAGCGAATTGCGCCACAAATAAAGTAGAAGCTTGCTTATCACCCATATTGGGTTGGCATGTCTTGCTTCTCCTCGCCGCTAACATCCCCGGACAGAGTTCCATACTCTCCAGCCTATCCCTAGCATAAATAGCAACTCCCCCTCCCCGCCTGCTGGGCCTGTCTTTTCTAAAGAGCCTGTAACATTCCTTTCCAACACTCCAGTCATAGGAGCCATCCCACCATGTTTCTGTGATGCCTATTATATCATACCCCCGTGGACATGCACACATCTCTAATTCCTCTTGTTTGTTCCCCATGCTACGGGCGTTTGCATATAGTCATCTGAGCTGAGCTCCAAATGAAGCTGGCTCATTGGCTGGAGTGGCTGGAATATCTCTGCATCGCTCCGAGCATTTATTTTAGGTGCTGGCAACTGACTGGGTGTGTTGAGATGGAATGATGCCCCCCTCCCCCAACACATCTAGTTTAAAGCATCCTTGACCAGTTTGGCAAGCCTCCAGATTCCTGCAATTACATGGTAAGATTGCAGAAGTTATGAACTGTTTCAACTGCTGGATCTGCTCACACCTACCCACAAATGCGGAGCAAGGTCATCCTGTGGTAGACACTGGTTTTCCTAATTCCTCTGTCATGATAACAGCCCTTAGTAACCAGTCCATATCCGAATACACTAATATATCTGAAAGAAATCTCTTTCCTAGAAAAGATGACATACCAGAATAGGCTGGGATTAGATTTGCTTTTCACCAAGGAGGGGGGTCTATGTACAGTTATTAATAAACATTGTTGCACATACATTAATCAAAATAAGAGAACTGAAAAAGACCTGTCTCTAATTTGTGAAAAAAACCCAAAATTTTACATGAAGTGGTCCAAGAAGACACGTCTTGGGGTTTCGGGGACCTAACAGAAAAACTGACTTCCTGGTTGCCGAATTTGGCATGGTTAAAACAATTGTTTGTTACAATAATTGTTACTATAATTTTATTCACAGTTCCTTGTATAACAGTCTGATGTGCCTTATGGTGCTGTCACGATACAAGAGCCTCTTACAGCAAATGGAGGAAAAATCAACTATGACGAGAACTTGAGTCTAATAGATATTTTGAGAAATGTCAGATAAGGAATTTTCATGTTAAGTATCCTACGTTAGAATTAGGAGTAAAAGAATTTATTAACTTGCTAGAAAAGGGGGGACTGAGATAGGGGAGTCCTAAGATTTAAAACTTGTTGCTGGTTGGGTAATTAGTTCGCATTGTTAATTTAATTACTGATAATATACCTTAGTCACATTGTTGGTGCAACCTAAGGGTTAACAAAGTGCGGGACTTAACACCTGTGAAAAGTTAGCTACATTTGTAACTTTTGGGATAACATCAGCCAATCCAAGGGGAGACTGAGCCCCAGCAAAAGAAGAGAGAGAACCGGTGCAAGCCAGTTTTGTGGTTTGGACACGATCCAAGGAGTAACTGAGCCTGCGCAGGACCAAAAGATTACTTGCAGTGACAAAGAGGAGCTGCTAGTCTTCATCCCCATGACCCCCTATGACCACTACCAAAAAGCACTGCACATGTGCAGTGGAGGAGTTTACGGAAATACTAATTATCATACAAAGTGGGGACAGGTTATGAATATGTATAGGAGCTCTCATGAATATGTAACTACAATGCTATATATGTTTGAAAGACAGACAGCTGCAGCATGCAAGACTTTGGTGGGACACCCCCATGCTGCCCAGCGCTGAATAAACATACCTACTTTACAACTCTAATTGGCTGATTGGTTGTAAAGTCCTTTCTCCACACGTCAAGGTCACCAATCTGTTCCTAGAAGCCTTTCCTCAGGGCTCAGTCTTGCTTACCTCCTCCTCTTACTTTTTGTTTTTTTCTTTTTCCTCTTCCTCAGGGAGCAGCCTCCACAAGGTATGCCCTAAGCTTACTCACAGAGAGGCTAGGAAGGTAGTTTTTACTGTGTGCCCCTTCAGAGACCCTACCCCATCTTCCTCAGCCAAGCACCTGCTCCAGAGCCTTCTGGCAGCCTCTACCCAACAAGCAGCTCATGACTAAGAGACCACACTTGAGAAAAGCTCCACAGCTGCTCTCCTGGCCAGGCTTCAAGAGACAAGCCTCGAATTAAACAGAACCCAGCTTTTTATTTTCCTGCCAAAAGTGGAGTCTAGCTAGGGCCCTGAAACACTGTGCCTGCGAGTCATTTCAGACCTGGCATAGCAACTAGTGCTTTAGGATCCCAAAAGTGGAGCAAAAGGCAAATATGGAGCAAATGGGTACCAATACTATTTGTAACTACAGAAGCCTTAGCAATACATCCTGAAGAAAAACGCACGGGTGCTTGCAGCCCCACGAACCTCGATGACAAACTTTGGGAGCCAGGAGAACCCGCGCCGGGTGGAGAGTTTTAGGGGCTCGCTCAAGCAGCAGGATTTCAGGCTTCAAGAAGACAAGGAAGAAAGCTGAGGGTCCTGTTGTCATACACAATGCCGCCACGCTGAGTTCAGAGGTCAGAGCGGGAGTCCAGAACAAGCAGCCCCTCAGCCTGCTTCCTCAGCCCCTTCCCGCCTCCCAGCACGGCCGCCACGGCTGACAACTGAGACAAGGGGGGGGGGGCAAAAAATTGCAAAATGGAATATATAAACCTTTAGAATCAGTTTTAAGTAATGTTAAGTTTGATGGCTTTGTAACAGCAATGGAAAATTACTGAGGTGCATGATACACAGAAAAAAAAACCAACAGAGTACAGCTAGAGAACATACTGAGAATTCTTGTATAAGATAAACCATTATAGTTGACGTAGTTTTAGGCCCTATGGCCTTAGTACAAAACGAATGTAAGAAAAACAGGCTAGAAGAATAGGATGCAAGGATAAGGAGTATCTGGGAATGGCAGGTGTCCAGGATGGGCTTAAGTTAAACTAACTGATAAGTAGAAGGACAGGAGGATTGTTATGTCTGTGGTGTTAACGAACCAATTAAGCTGGTATAAGCATCTACTGTGCAGGCTTCAAAGGCTGCCAGAAGTGATGAAGATTGTTGGAAAAAGTAAACGACCCTCAGAGACCACCACCACAATTTTGTATGCATGAGGGGAACTTTCTGGAAAATAATGTAATCCATATGTAGCCTCATGAATATGTATGTATGCCCAGGGACTATATAAGGATGGCTTGTGTAGCAATATGGGGACACACGTTAGGAGGAGCTATCCCCCGTGTCTCCCAGCACCGCAATAAAGAATACCTGCTTGTCAGCTTGAAAACTTTGTTGGCAAGTTTGTTCCTGGAGTTTTCTCTGAATCAATTTGGCTACCCAGGTGGGACCTACTCTGCTCGGCTGCAGGACCCGCTGATGACAGGGCTCCCTAGGGCCCTCAGGAATTTTTCCCACAGGGACCCCTCGACTCATTCGGATCACTGTGGGAGCAGACAAGGACCATCTCATAAAAGGTATTCTTTTCTTCTGTATAGTCTGTAAGGTGCAGGGGGCATCTTACATAAAGACTAAATTGGTTTGGTTTGGTAAGTGTACGCAAGGTTAGGAAGCCTTCCATAAATCGAGATAGGAAATCTTGTAGGTAAAGGCGTATACCTGGCTGCTAGCGTCCATTTGGTATACACCCACAAGAAGCAGTGGGCATCTTGTGCTTTGGGTCCTACAAGATGCAGGGGTGTCTTATGGAAATGGTTTTGGGTCCAGTGTCCTATCAACAATTTTGGCTTTGGAAAAAAGGAAAAACTGAAAGTTAAGCTGGAGAGATGTTGTTCAGCCTGTGACACTGGGGAAAGATGTTTAAACTTAAAAACCAGTAATCAGGAAGATAGGTTGGAAAATTATGTATCACAAGTACCTCCAAGAGGAGCACCCTCTGAATCTGTTCTATCTGATACTGATAAGGAGGAAGAGATTGCTGTCACTGGCAACAAGCAGTAGATTCACATTCAGAGTTAAGAAAGGGTTAAAGTAGTACTGTTGCAGAGGCAGGCATCTGCAGCCCCTGCAGAGCAGGGTGAGCAACTGTGAGAAAAAAAAGGGGAAAACCAAGGGGGAAAGGAGGGGAGCTCGGGCAGCTCCTGTGTTTGAGCGTGGGAGGAGGGACAACGGGCAGAGGTTGGGGGAGTGGGCTCTTCCGTGGAAACGGATCGGTATGCGTGCTATGGGGAGTTTGGACTCTGGAAGTGAGACTGCCCGGGGGGGATGGGGGGGTGGGTGCCTTGGGGTGGCTCCGGTGACTGAACTGGAACTAGACTGACAGGGATCTGGGGAATCTACCCTAGGAGATCCACTGGTTAAATTAAAGCTAGGGACTAGAAGAAATAAACTGGAATTTTAGTGGATATAGGAGCAACTTATTCGGTCTTAAATCAGAGAGAAAAGAATTTGTTAGAGATATGGGAACTACTGGCCACCAAGAAAAAGAGAAAAAAAAAACCTAAACCAAAACAACAACAAAAACAAAAAAAAAACAAAAAGAAAAACAAACAAACAAAAAAAAACAAACAAAAAAAAACAACCCCGAGGCATTCTTTCTGAAACCCTTAAAGTACGAATTCGGAAAACAAATAGGAATGCATAAATTTTGATACATGCCAAATTCTCTAAAATCTTTATTAGGGCAAGAAGCAACATTTAAAGAAGGCAAAATGGAATTAAGAGTTAAACTCAAAACTGCAATTAATTGATTATTTTTATCTTTAATTCAACAGAAAAGCAAAAAGGAGGACCTCCCTGAAATAGAAATCCTTAATCAGGTCTATCTGGGAATATGGGCATCTGAAATTCCAGGTAAGGTGAAAAATGCTTTGCCTGTTAAAGTGGAAATAAATTAGAAGATCAAAGGGAAACAAAAAATCATTGATAAATTTTAAAATATAGATTATTAATTGAATGTGAATTGGAATATAATACTCCTATCTGGACAGTAAAGAAATATGATAGTAAAAGTTGCAGATTGGTTCAAGATCTCAGAGCAATGAACAAAATTGCAGGGGATATTTGCCCAGTAGTAGCTAATTCACATGATTTATTGACTAAATTGAATAATAATCAATAATGGTTTGATGCCTTGGATTTAAAGGATACTTTCTTTTGCTTACCATTGGCCAAAGAAAGCCAAAATTATTTGCTTCTGAATGGGAAAAACCTGACACAGGAAGGGAAACTCAATTAACTTGGACAGTATTACCTCAAGGGTTTAAAAACAGTCCAGCAATTTTTGGAAATCAGTTAGCACTGGAACTAGAATCATGGAAGCTACATACTCATATGGGGACTCTGTTACAATAGGTGGATGACCTATTAATTGCTACAGAAACAAAGGAAGAATGTATCCAGTGGACGGTGGAATGATTAAATTTTCTGGGGCTGAATGTTTATCAGGTATCCAAACAAAAGGCCCAGCTAATCCAAACCCGAGTTTCCTACCTAGGATATGAAATAACAGGAGGACAGAGAGAACTTATAACTGCTAGAAAAGACCCTCAGAGACCACCACCACAATTTTGTACGCATGCGGGGAACTTTCTGGAAAATAATGTAATCAATACGTAGCCTCATGAATATGTATGTATGCCCAGGGACTATATAAGGATGTCTTGTGTAGCAATACAGGGACACACGTTAGGAGGAGCTATCTCTCGGCGCCGCAATAAAGAATACCTGCTTGTCAGTTTGAAAACTTTGTTAGCGAGTTTGTTCCTGGAGTTTTCTCTGAATCACAACATAAACTTCCGTATCCCCTGAACATCCCCTACCACGCCATGCCGGAACTAGGTCAGGTGCTCAAAGCGAGCCCAGGATGTGGTGCCGCCCCGCCGAAGGATGGCGAGGGTGGGCGGGTTCCTCTTGTATCGCGGTGTGGTGACGTGAGGCGCTTGCGTGTGACGTTGTAGCGGCTTTCGTTCTGTTCTTGGTCTCGACCTCGTCGTTTCCTGACTCGTGTTTGTTTGTTGCCTGTTGCCGCTATGGCGAAAGTGGCTGACACGAAGCTTTACGACATTCTGGGGGTGCTACCCATGGCCTCCGACAACGAGCTCAAGAAGGTGGGTGGGGGTCGTGGGTGTCGGCGCCCAGGCAGAGTGAGTGGTAGCGCTGTGGGGAGGATGGGCTTGTCGCCGGGCAGGGGCCCGCGGGGCGGCTGAGTTGAGCTGTCCAGCGGTTGTCGCGCGGAGTGAGGCCGGCCCGGGGAGTGTAGTCTGAAGGCGTCTGAGGCCTGTAGGCATGCGCCGCTAGGGGAAAGCCCCCGGGGCCTCCGCATTCTACCGAGATAGGCCACGCTGTGGGGCCGCGGGGACTTGGCGGGTGGGAAGCGCCGGCTTAGCGGGGTAGGTTGTGGTTAGCGCCCAGAGGAGAGGTTATCGACGGGAGGAGGGTGCAGCGGGGCCTGGTCGTGCTGCCCGTGTCCCTGGCGGCCGCTTGGTTTCGGGCGCCGCTCGCTTCGTCCTCGCAGAGCCACGTCCCTTCCGCGAGGTGAAAACTTGGAGCTGCGTTATTAGAATTATAATTCAATGCGTCTATTCCATTCTGTAGTGTAGAAACCACTTTTTTTCTGGAAGGACTTGTTGGCCATTTACACGTTAAGGAGGAGAATTAACTAGGCAGTTTACTAGCAGTGACCTGCTTCTGCTGATGGGTGGTGCTGGTATTAACTGTGTTACCTGTCATGCATATGGCAACCTAATTCGCACAGGCAATGGCAGTGTTGAAATAGTGTTAGAGGTGGAAGGCATGTGGTGAGAGGGTGGTGCTGTAAAACAAATCCAATCAAGTAGAACTTTTTTTTTTTTTTTTCTTTCCTTACTGAATTCTCTTAAAGGTATCCGTGTACTCTAAGAATCAAAAACTTACACTTACAGCAGTTTTCTGCTTGGATAACCTCTGCTGCTCAATATTAATTTGCTATAAATTAGATGTACCAGGGAATGTAAAGTTTCCAACAGCAAAAAGTTCATATATATCTTATTGTCACTGGAAGGTCACATGGATGCTTAATTAATCTGATATTTTAATCTATATAATAGTATAGAAAAGTGAAAACAACTAATGGTTTAGTCAAAAGGGGCTGAGACAAATTAGTGATTTTTAATTTTTATTGAAGTTGTAATATTGTGCCAGTGTAGACCTTGATTCTGGATCTGTTTCTGATTAAATAAATAGTGGTAGCTTCCTTTTGGCCCATGGGTAGTCTTAAAAATTTCCCTGAACGGGAATGCTGTTATCAGCAAAGACTTGAGTGCTTCCTCTTTAAAAATTAGCATGCGAGCTCCTATTTAACTGATAACGTTGTGTAGGTTTTCACTTTAATTTTCAGGGTTTGGTGGAGGTTTTCTGTTTGTGTTTTTACACAGACTCCCTAAAGTGTGTGGGGAAAATACCTTTTTATTACAGAATATGTACATTTGTGGAAGACTATGCTTTGTTACTGATAGGTAATTTGTCCTAATAAGACCTGTGATTTTTGTTTTTTCCACTTACCATGCTTTAGAATACTTGACTTGTATTAGTAATTCTCTGGGGTTTTTATTAGTTCCTTATCAAATGTTATTTCTTGATTGCATGCAGAAGTACAGAGTATTTCAAGTTGATTAATAAAGAGAAGTAACTGCAAATACAAAAAAAGGAATCTTGTTCCAGTACAGAGTGGAAAGTTATGATCTCTGTAAAGCTTTGCGTCTAAAGCTCTCTTAGTGTTGTAGTTCTAAAGAGTTGGTTTGATGCTCAGTTCTACAGAAATAGAGCTTTTGAAAAATCCACTCTAAGAACCAGTGTTTCAGTTGTTTGCAGTTTCATCAATGTAGCTTTTTTTGTATGTATAATTTAAAAACCAGACTGTATACCATGTAATTTATTGATATCTGTCCCCAGATTGTTACTGGGAGTGTTGAGGTGGAGTGGGGGGGGAGAGCTGAGGTCTTTACTGTCATAAACTGAAAGTGTAGGAAAAGCCTCTGCATGTCCTGTTACTTGCTTTGATCCTTTTAAGTATAAGCAAAATGGATGAAGTACTGCTGTGGAGAAAGTGATGGTCCTGAGAGTCAAAGTACTGGTCAAAAAAAAGCTTTCTGAAAAATCTATTCTGGAGACTGGGCTGTAATTCCTCCTGCTGCTTTACAACAATGAAGTTAAATAAAAGCAATGATCTGTACACTTCTGCACATGTAACTCATATACTTAGTTCAGAGTGAGAATAAATCTTCCATTATTGATATGTAAGGAAGAATAAAATGTGTGTTGTGAGGATTGACTGATAGAGTTGAATGAGGAGCTGAGGCAGCCATTTTGTTATTAATGTGTTGGTATGATTGAGGTGAAAGACAAATGAGTTGAGACTTTGTAGATTTTGAGTAGCTTCTGTATAGTAAGTCGTTTTCATGAAAGTCCAGTGTGATTCTTCCTGTAAGTTAATGAAGATAAGCAGGAAAACTACTAGCTATTGTGCTATAGTTGTGTTTAAATGCAAGTGCAGTTAGTTTTTATCGATGTTGGAATTTTTTTATGTATGTTAGCATTTCACTGTATGAATGATTTCAAAATACTAATTTTCTCACTTTGCTCTATTAGTATTTTCTTTCTTCCTGAAGATGCCACTTGACTTTCTCAGAAAAGTACTGATTAATCAATATTTAAACTAATTTCATAACTCTTTCAACTAGGCGTATAGAAAGCTGGCCAAGGAATACCACCCTGATAAGAATCCAAATGCAGGAGACAAAGTAAGACTTTTTTTACATTTGCTATTACAAGTAGCATCTAAGGATCCAAATACAGATGGTGTTACAAGTTGTTAAAAAATAACTGTGAGAGGGACCCCGGTCTTGTCTACTTCTTCCCAACCTCAAAATCTACCAGCATACCCTGTGAAAAAAATGCAGCAGTTGGCTGAGTCAAATTGGTTGCTGAGGGAAAGGTGCCCATCTTCATCTGCTGAGAAGATGCCAACTGGCATTGGCATCTAAATAGGTATTTGGAAAAGATAGTCAATTTTCCAACATGGAAGAGTGGACGTGCTGAGGTTCTTGAAACTGCTGCAGCATAGAACAGATATGTGGGGAGGTTAAATTAGATTTGTTATGCTAATAGCAATTAAAAAATATCAATTAAGTTGACTTAGCTGAATCTCTAACAGAACTGATGTTTAATGGTTGCTTAGAGGTAAGCTGAGGTGACTATGAAAAGGTACTCATTTGGTTTGAGGACAAACATGAATATATGCATTTTAGTAGGCTGCATAACTGTTAGTATATTTTAACTGCCTAACATATTTTGAAGTCTTTGCCATTAGTGTGTAACTAGGTTTTCCTTCCCTGTTGGCTGCTGCAGTGTTGTGTAATTGGGGCTCTTCTTTGGTTGGATTTTCTTTTTGTTCTTTGTAAGAAAATCATCTTGTGCTGTCTGCAGTAAAGAAGCAAACTCAATGAAATTTTGCCATAAAATGTCTTATTTTATAAGAGGTAACACAATAAGCCCAAGTCTGACTTTTAAGTCTCACACATTAGAATTAAGGTAGGAAACTGTTCTGTTGTCTACCTTCTTAATTGAGCGTTTGTGCTGGGCACGAACAAGTAGTAAAATGCTCCCTTGAAGTTCTAAATTATCATGCACTGTTTTGATTCTGTTCCTCTTCTAGTTCAAAGAAATAAGCTTTGCCTATGAAGTATTGTCAAATCCAGAGAAACGTGAGTTATATGATAGATATGGAGAACAGGGCCTTCGAGAAGGTAGTGGTGGAAGCAGTGGAATGGATGATATTTTCTCCCATATCTTTGGTGGTGGATTGTTCAATTTCATGGGTGGTCAGAGTCGAAGTCATAATGGTAGAAGAAGAGGAGAAGATATGATGCATCCACTCAAGTGAGTATCTTGATACTTGAATTTGTAATTTCAGCCTTTCCTGATCAGTACTTGACTCTGCTAGTTATATTCCTTAAATGGTTCTCAGTTCAGATATTCTGTGGTCTACACCTACTTTTCAGACCTGCATGTTGTGCATAGCCCAGAAGGCAGTCATCCTGCGTAACTTAAGTTACTTACCCTTACAGAACACCAAATACTCTGCCTGGTTATTAGTCTGTATATACTTTATTAGCATTATTTTCTTGGTTTTGCTCCTTAATTATGTTCAGAAACCCTAATCTGAAAAAGTATTCATCAATCAAGTATTACTCATGAGCTGGATTCTTAAGAAAGCAGAGGTACTAAGGCTCTGGAAAGACTTGCATTTATAGCATAATACCAGCTGGAAAAGCATGTGTGGTGGGTTTGGTTTGGGTGTTTTGTTGTTAGTTTTTTTGGGTTTTGGGGTATTTGGTGGTTTTATTTGGTGGTTTTGGGGGGGGGGGGGGGTGTATTCTTTTTTTAATGCCATGCTTGAATATCGCATCTAATTGGGTTTTGTAGCTCTCTGCTTACAGTCATGGTTGGCTTTTTTTGCCTACTGATCTGGTCCTTTCTAAGTTCTTTCTGAATTAAGCTTTATCTTTCCTGTGGTTGGCAAGCCATGCTTGGTAAAGTCTGTTAACGTTTACATGCTTGCTTAGCTTAGTAGCTAGTACTGCATGCTCTATTATTAATTAGCTTTGGTTTTGTTGTTGTTTGTAAACACTGATGCCAGGCAACCTTTTCTCAATACATGGAGTTGAAATTTCTATCCACTAACAAACCCTTTTAGGAGAAAAACTAAATGTGTTCATAAACTCATAAACTTCTGTCAATATATGAATATTATTGGAGTTTGATAGTGTATTCAAGAGCTCGTAAAAAAAAAAAAATTAAAACATGAACAGATCTAAAGAATTGAATGGCCCTGGGGACATGCTAAGCCCTCCCCACTAAACTGTCTCATGTGAAAAGCCTGATACAGTAGTAAGTCTTCTGAATGCATTCTTATGTATTGTCAGGACTGTCTTAGAGGGGTGGTTTTCTCACCTGCCTGGTAGAATAAACAAACAAAAATTGACTATGACTAATAAACCCAAAAATGCTAGATCAGCTGGCATTCTATTGAGAAGCACAAGCAATCCTGTCTGGTTTCTTCTGAAACTATGTTCAGGATTGCACGTGTATATTCACATGTATAGAATAGGTTTTTAATGGCTCCTTGTGAAAGCTAAAATGGTGCTTTAAAATATTTTATTTTAATAGCAGATATAGTCTTTCTATGAATCTCTATTTTTCTTTAAATTTGTCCTAGGCAACTATTCTTATTACATGGGGAAAGCAAGTTGTTAAATGATAACCTAGGAGAAATGCTTTATTTTGTAGAGTCTCTTTAGAAGATCTGTATAATGGCAAGACAACTAAACTACAACTTAGCAAGAATGTCCTTTGTAGTGCATGTAATGGGTAAGTTTGCTTACATTTTTGAGTTCTCTGATTGTTTTGTCATATAGTGGAATGAAGCATCTGCTATGTCAGATCTGTATTGGTATTTGACTTGCTGGAGCCTGCTCTCAAACCAGAAAACTGTTGAGCTTGAATGATACTGTTGATGGAGCTGGAACTATTCAAGGACTTTTTCTGGGGGGAAGTGGGGAGGAAAGAACCCAATTATAATTGGCAGTGCTATTAGGTATGTTAACCTACTGATTTAGAGAGGTTTTGGTCCTTTGTTTCTGGAAGGAAAAAAGAAGTTACTTTTCATGCAACTGGTGCTTTCTATTCTAGGCAGGGAGGGAAGGCTGGAGCTGTTCAGAAATGTAATGCTTGCCGGGGTAGAGGTGTACGTATCATGATCAGGCAGCTTGCTCCTGGAATGGTTCAGCAGATGCAGTCTGTATGCTCTGACTGCAATGGAGAAGGTAGGCCAAGCTATTCTATGTTACTAAATACGTTCACTTGGATTCAACCTCCTGGTTAAATCTCGGGAGGAATATATCTAGGACCACGTTGCTCCTATCTAATCAGTTGGGTCTCAGTCTGATGTCAACATAGAGAAATCATTTTACTTTGAACAGCAGCAAAATTTACAGTTCTTACTGTAAATTAATGTACTGAAAAGCAGTATGTAAATTTACAGTAATTTACTGTAATAAAATACAGTAAAATACTGTAAAAAATACAGTAATTTACATACTGAAAAGCATCCTGGAAGCTTGAATAGTAAGGGTTAAAAACACTTAGATGTGAATATTACTTGTTGCTATTACTGTTACAGTAAAACCCAAGGTTTTGTTTTAGCTTTTTATCTTTTTGCAGTCTCCTAACATCCAAGGACAGATTTAAGCTTTAAAATGGAAACTTAAAGTTGGATTTTAACTTCTTCAAATTATGAAGATACCTTTTCCGAAATTGGTTGTGTTTGAGGGAACCAGTTCAGCACATGATCTGCACTCTGTAATTCCTTTTTAGATCTTCTGCAGTTTGCAGAGTAGTAATGTCACCTTGTGGGTGATTTTTCTCTTAACAATACTTGGAAGTTAGAGTTGGTTTGTGACTAGTCAAAACATTTCATAAATGATGTTGTCTCTGGCTGTCCTGTTTTCAGTTTACATACTTAACTTACATATTTAGTAGTTTCAACTGTATCATAATGTATTGCTTTGTTTCACAGAAAGGTGGTTTAAGCTGGCAGGTTTAATGTTTTAAGCCAAGTGCATCTGCTTGTGGCACTTAAAGCAGTGTTGGCTAAGTACTGAAAATGTATGGTGCGTGTGGCCTAGTATTTTGGTTACTCTGTACAAAGCCAATAGCTTACTTGAAAAATAAAGATGAGATAGAACAGAGAATTTAAGTCATTTTTGGTAGTCATTTTTCAGTTCGGAAAAAGTAATTGTCTTACTAGAGGTAACAAATGGTGTGAAAACCTATTCTGTTTTAAGAGTATGAAAGTCAACTTCATAATATGTCAGAAAATGTTAGATCCCTTCAGTGGGAAAACTTTTATATGTTGCTTTTGCATGAAACTGTCATTTGACCACGTATCTTGCCCCCGTTTTGTATGCAAGACTCGCTAGTTCTATTGACTGCATCTCCATAGTATATGGTGGTGGTATCCTGGAAAATGGGGCTGTCAGTGAACAGACCCTGGTAATCCTTTTTTGACTGTTGTTAACAGAAGTGGAACTAAGTTTCCTAAATTCATTGAAAGAGTTTGGAATTTGTTGTGACTTAAGGGAGGGGAGGTGTTTCAGTTTGGTTTTGGCTTCATCCTTTCTTCTATAGATGTCATCCTCTAGCATAACAATGAATGGAAAAGTAGGTGTTTGTTTTTTAAGAGCAGTAAGTTGAGTGGTGAGGATACTGGAGTCAAATTAAGATTTAAGGAATACTAGAAGTTGTAGACAGTCTTGTTTTGCCTTTCTCTAAAGTACTCTCACTTTTCAAACTTGGTGTATCTTTGTATAGCTTCTCTTTCACCCCCTTCCCCCCCCCCTTCCCCCTCTCCCAGCCAGGGTAAATTGAGCTTAGCTTTCCTCTTGTGAGGAATTTGTAAAACAACATCTGAATCACTAGTTGTGTTGCATGAATTCCTCAGCCTACTCTCTTCAGAATCAGATGCAGTTACGTGGAAATCTCCCAACTCAACATTTGTCTGTCTTTAGGTGAAGTAATTAATGAAAAAGACCGCTGTAAAAAATGTGAAGGGAAGAAGGTGGTCAAAGAGGTAAAAATACTTGAAGTCCATGTAGACAAAGGCATGAAGCATGGGCAAAGAATTACATTCAGTGGAGAAGCAGATCAGGCTCCAGGTGTGGAACCAGGTGATATTGTCCTCTTACTCCAGGAAAAGGAGAATGAGGTAATGCTTTTGAGTTTATATTTTAAAAGCCTTTTATCCTAGTCCTCAATGTAGATGGATGTTCCTTTAAAGTAATTGATATAGTTGAAACTCTGGGAGAGATGGTGTATAGCTTTTAATAGATTTATGGCAAGTAACAGGGCTTTCATGGTGAGCCAGAAACTTTGCAAGTCTGTAGCCAGAGGACATGCAGATTCTGGTGCTTCCTCATGCTAATAAAAGGTAGCTTTCTCTGATCAGCTCAGGCTGACTCTGATACAGTGGACGCTGTGAAGAGAGCCATTCAGGTTGTTAACTTCAATGTGCTTTGCTTGTGACACTAACAAAATGATAAGTGTTGCTTTCTTTTCAATGTCTTGTGACATGGCAGGAAACTCCTTTTAAAATCCCCAGATGGTGCTTTCTGTCTCTGCTACTGTGATTCTGGAAATATATCACGGAATAGTGATGTTACTGATTTGCTTAACTGAACAAAGAAACTTGATTATTTTGTACTAGTTTAGTAAGCATAAGCCTTAACATATTTTGGAGTATATACACAGCACTTTTGAATTAAGTATTGCAAATTGCCTTTTCCTGTGTTAAGACTCCCATAGGGTAGAGTTGAGGTGACTGGTTTTTTTTTGTTTGCTTTTGTTATGGGTGTTTGTTTTGTTTTTTTTTTTGGGGGGGGGGAGGGGGTGTTTGTTTTTTGTATTATACTCTGGAAAAATGTTGACTAGAATGGCGGTGTTAGGAAATTCTGTTATGATAAAGAATAGCATTGGGTACAAATTTAAATTCCAGTCATGTATAAGGATATAATGTTGGTTATCTGAAAATTAAGTACTTTGTAAGCTTTTCAAAGCAGTGTCAAGGACTGATAATTTATCAATTTTACATAGCTCTTTAAACATTCTTCTCCTCTTTTCTGTGATATGGGTTGAAATATGGCATTGCAGTTGATTTTTGACTATGAGGGAGAAACCACCTGTAAGCATACAGAACAGTCAGAGGTGAATGATGGCATCAAATTCCAGATAGCGGATGCCACTTCTGTTTTAGTCTTCTAATACGCTACATCTAGTTTTACAATATTAAGAGTTCTGAAAAATACCATACCTTGTCCTAGTGAGTAAAGCTAGACTGACTTTTAGCAAAGCTTTCAGTGTTCTTAATTTCTCTCGAGGTAGGAGTCATGGTTCTGCCAGATTTACTCTGAGTGGCTTAAAGACCACTTATGACAGATGTGTACTAATTGATCAAAGCCTTGCTGTAGATGAAGTTAGCTGAAGCAGATCAGCATGATAACGAGTTAAATGTTGAGAAACAAAGATGTGGGGTTTGTACTCCAGTACAGAGCAAGTGGTGTCAAACTTTTAAGTTTTGTTTATAGATTGCTTGTATGGAAGATCTTGGGGTTGAGAGAGTACTGCTGCTGTACTGACCTCCTTGTTTAATTTGATAAGGCAAGCCTCACATGATGTAGTGTGGCTTGCCTTATCTTGGATGACACTTTGATCAAGCACAAACTTTCCAAGTATGCTACGCTATTTGAATTAACAGAATCAAGTTAACTTTGTACAAAGGAGGCTGCTCTGGCGCTGAGTTTTAAGAATAAATAATTCTAAATAATGAGTCTCAGATATGATTATGGTACTAGAAAACGCATCCCCTGATTTTTGTGGTTTAGGTGTTCCAGCGGGATGGGAATGACTTGCATATGACGCACAAGATTGGACTCGTTGAAGCACTGTGTGGATTTCAGTTCACGTTTAAGCACCTTGATGGACGTCAAATTGTGGTTAAATATCCTCCTGGAAAAGTAATTGAACCAGGTAAGCTTGACCTGATAAGGACTACTTTGACTATGCTTTTGTGATTCTTTAAAACTTAATCCCATTCTTTTTGTCCTGCTAACTGAATCTAGGCTAGAGAAATTAAGAGAATCGTATAGAGAGAATTGTTCTGAAGAGCACTCTCCAGTTTACTTTTCTTTGACTTGCAGGTTGTATTCGTGTAGTCAGAGGTGAAGGAATGCCACAGTATCGTAATCCTTTTGAGAAGGGCGATCTTTACATTAAATTTGATGTTCAGTTTCCCGAAAATAACTGGATTAGCCCAGAAAGGCTTACGGTAAGTAGATTTTCAGACACAGATACAGTGGTCTTATTTGACAGTGTGTGCAAAGTATGTGTGGGGTATGCTTGCTTTCAGTGCTTAAATTTAGATGCAAGTATAGTTGTTCTTTTACCATCGTTTATAGGCAACATGCAACTTGAAAATACCCATTTGAATGCTGATTTATGGAACCTGTGTTTAAAAGCTGTGCAAGTGTTAGGCAGATGAGGGCAGGAGGAACAATCTTCCTGCTGTTGTGTGATAAGTTCTCACAATGCAACTGTATTCACTGATTGCACCTCCGGCTGATATGTGGAGCTGTGGGTTTTCCCTAAGTGGTGTCTTCCAGTTGATACAAATACTTTGGATACTTTTAAATAAGTATACACCTTCAGGTTTTGTATCAGCTTATTAGACTTCTAAACTGAACCTGCTCTGAGGGGGAGGTCTTGAAGTTGTGGGAAACTGGTCGCTTTATTTTAGCAGTTGTAAATGCAGTACTGAATATACTTATTCTTTTGGGGCAGGAACTTGAAGATCTTCTGCCAGCTAGACCAGAATTTCCCAATGTAATTGGTGATGCAGAAGAGGTAGATCTTCAGGAATTTGATACTACTCGAGGTTCAGGTGGTGGCCAGAGACGTGAAGCTTATAATGATAGTTCTGATGAAGAAAGCAGCCATCATGGACCTGGGGTGCAGTGTGCCCATCAGTAAATGTTTGTCTAAAAAAGTTGCACAAGGATTTGTCTTTCAAATTTTGCCTGACTTGTTTTCAGCAATCCAGCTGGATTGTATAAGTAATCCAGATGAACCAGTGGACATCTATTGCTGTATGTGTAACTTTTTGAATTGGTTTATAGTATCTACAGAGTGTAACTTAAACTATAACCACAAGCTTACATCTTCATTTTGACTGTGTAACAGAATAAAGCACCTGAAGACGGGACTCCTTTTCACATGGGTTTTAAGTTTGCCCTTGTATCAGTGCTTGATTTTTACCAGTTTTGTGTAGATTAAGTTTCATTTTTAAATTCAAGCTCTACATTGTAAAGTTTGTGTACAATTTGTCCTGAGGCTTGGTATTTGGCTGCACCTGCATAAGCTGCTGCAAGTAGAATAAAGAATTTTCATAGCCTGTATCTGTTATCTTAGATGCATGGTAAATGGGCTTTGCACATAATGGGTTTAGAGCTGACTGGGAACGATGGAAGAGTAAATTAGAAGTGATTGCAAGTTGTTTGGTTTCAGGTTTTGTTGTGGTGGTTTTTTCTTTGTTTTTTTGTTTTTGGTTGGTTGGTTTTGGTGGTTTGTTTTTGTTGGTTTTTTTTTCTACCACCTTGTGAAGGGCTTCTGAAATTAAAGCAGTTGATGTATAGTATATTTCTTTTGCCTTGTAGCTCTTTCCAGTGGCTATAACTGTCTTGTCTACCATCTACACAGTCTTTTTGTACACATCTTGGAAACCAAGATGTTGAAACTGCTATAAAATGATGTTGCAGTTAGATAACAATGGTGTGCCATATGTTAAAGTTGAAATGAGATATGACTAAACTGGCAGGGGGAGGCTGCAGCCATGTCTTTTTTTTACAAAGAAAACACAAGGATATCTTAATTCAATCAGAAGATAACAAAATCTTGTAATCAATCCTCTTGTAAATGAGGATTATTAAATCCCAACATAATGGTGACTTTATCTTAGGTTTTGCATCCCATTCAAAGCCTGACTGAGACTCTCTTCCTAGTGGGATGTTTCTCGTCTTAAACAAATCATTTGCAAAAAGGAATGTTACATTTGAGAACTTGTGGTTGCAGTAATGAAGTTCATGAAGAGATGGAGATTAGTGTTGTAGTTGACAAAACCACTTTGTTGACCTGGAGAGATAGTAAGTGTAGGTGGGTTTGTTATTTTTTCAGTAGTTTACACTTGGTTTGAACTATTTGTAGACTCTTAGAATAGTTAGGGTTGGAAGGCTGCCCTGGAGCATCACGTTTCCAACCAGCCCTTCCCTGTTGGTATGAGGTCAAGCATGGCACTTCTCCTTGTCAGCTCCTCTATTACTGGCAGAAGGAGGTTGTCCTCTACACAAATGAGGAACCTCCTGGATTGCTTGGGTGGGGCCATACAGTCCCTCCAACGGATATCAGGGTGGTTGAAGTCCCCAATGAGGATAAGGGCATGAGAGCGTGGGGCTGTTCCTATCTGTCTATAGAGTGCTTCATCTCTCTACATTGCTCCAAGCATTTATTACAGGTGCTGGCAACTGACTGGATGTGGTGGGATGGAATGATGCTCCCCTCCCTCAACACATCTAGATTAAAACTTTCTTGACCAGCCTGGCACGCCTCCTACCACAGAAGCTCTTCCCCTTTGTTGTCAGACCAGCTCCACCAGCCTCCAGTAGACCTTGCCTCCCAAACCAAGTCCCATGTTCTAAATATCCAAACCACTGACTATGGCACCACTGTTCTAACTGTCCATTAACCTGCCAAATATGCCTAGCCTTTTTAAGGTCCTGTCCTTTATCCTGGAGAATTGATGAAAAAACTGTCTGAGCTCTAGAGCCCCTAACCACCTCTCCCAGAGCTCTACAGAGGACTGTCCTACAGTCCTTCTTAACATTCTCCAGGTTACTGATATCTATATCGCTAGCACCCACATGGATCACTAGAAGTGGGTAATAGTCCGTGGGACTTACTGGACCAGGCAGCCTCTCTGCAACATCCCTGATCCAAGCCCCGGTAGGCAACATACCTCCCTTGAGAGTGGGTCAGGCCAACAGATGGATGACTTTCAACGTAGATTCCCCTACTACTATGACCTGCCACTTTTTCCAGGCAGCACCAGTAGTGATCTTCTTCACCGGTGCATCAGCCTGTTGTTCATTTGGTGAGGTGTGTGTGTGGTTTCCTTGTTAGCCCCCTGCAGAACTGCAAAGCGGTTCTGGGTGGTTACATAAGATTTAGGAGGAAGCCCCTTGGTTTTAATTGTCCTCTTCCCCCTTTTTTTGTTGTTTTTTTTTGTTTTATTTTCTTTTTTTCATTGTTGTTACTAGTTCCCAGCTTCCTGGGTTAACAACCTCCTTGGTTCCTCCATGAGCTACGATGGATGCTTGAGACCCCTGCACAGTTTGGGCCTGGGGCAAGTGGTCCAGCTTCCTCTCAGCTTTCCTAACATCTTTTAGCCTATTGACAGTGTCCCACAGCCCAGCCACCCGCTGCAGGAGGACCACCACTAAGGCACACTGAATACAGCCCTGTCCATTGTGCACCCTCCTCAAGAGACGAGTGCAGGCACTCTACAGTCCGAGCTCTGCACTGCAGCCTCCTCTCTCATAGGTTCTGTCTGGGTTCCTACCCTGGCCACCACTGGGGCAGCCAGAGCAGAGCTCCCAGACTGGGCCCTGGTCATGAGGCATGTGTGCACCATCCCGCGCACTGTCCCCGTGAAAACTGCCACACCGTGCCCTGGTTGCTTGTGCTCCCTGGGGCAGTTTTTCAACCAGTCAGGGCTGGTGCCATCTCTCCTGGTGCTGCCCCCTGTGAGTCAGCTGCTTGCATCAGCTGAGCTGCTGTCTCCTGGATAAGTCCTGTCGAGGACTTGAGGTTCCTTTGGTGCATCTTGCCGTTCTGGATTGAGGCTCCTGGACACTGAGCTTCCCCCCGCTCAGGTGTTGAAGGCATCCTCTCTTGATCTACTCATCTCAGCAACTGAGCCTTCTCCAGGCTGAACAGCCCAAACTTTCTTAGCCTGTCTTCATACAGGAGGTGCTCCAGTCCCCTGATCATCCTTGTAGCCCTCCTCTGGGCTTGTTCCAACAGTTCCATGTCCTTTTTATGTTGAGGACACCAGAACTGTACACAGTACTCCAAGTGAGGTCTCATGAGAGTAGAGTAGAGGGGCAGGATCACCTCCTTTGACCTGCTGGTCATGCTCCTTTTGATGCAGCCCCAGGTACGGTTGGATTTCTTGGTTGCCGGCTCATGTTCAGTTTCTCAAAAAAAAAAAAAAAAAATCTGTTTTTTCCTTCAAATTTAATGTGGTGCTTTCTGGGCCGTTAGAACACAATTTTGTGAGGGTAGACTCCATTTGAGACATAGAACATAGAAGGTAGGTATCTGCAGAGCTGAGGCACCTTCTTGATTTGCGCCAGGATCTGTGAATCCACCACCTTCTGGTCTGACTTGCGCTGCTCCGTTATCTCATATTTTTCTTTCTCCGTGTCAAAGATCTCGCCTTCCTGGTGCTTGGGCTTCCGCAGCCTCTTCTTAAAGTAGGCATCAGTGAGATGCTTGGGAATTTTTACTCCAGAGATACCTACCTTTGTAGATGTAGCAATAACAAATTTCTGATGGGCCCTACGCAGATGGACACAATTGACAACCAAGTGTCCTGTAACAAGCAAAAGGCCAGTATCGAACTGCTTCAAGAAGATGACATGCTTGCCTCTGTGACAACCAGTCAGCAGGATCAGAACAGTCCCTGGAGTGATGGAGGCCCTCAGTCGTCTCTTGTGCTGGCTGAAGGGCTTCTTGCCATGATTCAAAAGCTTGCGTGGAACATCCTCAGTGGGAAAGTACCTGGGTATTTTGCACATTTTCACCACGCAGCTGCCTCCATTCTTGTACCCATCCACCGGTTTGGTTGTGCAGGGCTTCTCTTGTTTTCTTTTCTATCCTTGTTACTGGAGTGGTGTACTTAGAATCATAGAATAGTTAGGGTTGGAAAGAACCTTAAGATCATCTAGTTCCAACCCCCCTGCCATGGGCAGGGACACCTCACACTAAACCATGTCACTCAAGGCTCTGTCCAACCTGGTCTTGAACACTGCCAGGGATGGTGCATTCACAACCTCCCTGGGCAATCCATTCCAGTGCCTCACCACCCTAACAGGAAGGAATTTCCTCCTTATATCCAATCTAAACTTCCCCTGTTTAAGTTTGAACCCATTACCCCTTGTCCCGTCACTACAGTCCCTAATGAATAGTCCATCCCCAGCATCCCTATAGGCCCCCTTCAGATACTGGAAGGCTGCTATGAGGTCCCCATGCAGCCTTCTCCATGCTGAGCAACCCTAACTTTCTCAGCCTGTCTTCATATGGGAGGTGCTCCAGTCCCCTGATCATCCTCGTGGCCCTTCTCTGGACTTGTTCCAACAGTTCCATGTCCTTTTTATGTTGAGGACACCAGAACTGCACACAATATTCCAGGTGAGGTATCACAAGAGCAGAGTAGAGGGGCAGGATCAACTCCTTCAACCTGCTGGTCACGCTCCTTTTGAAGCAGCCCAGGATACAGTTGGCTTTCTGGGCTGCAAGCGCACACTGCTGGCTCACTTGCGCTTGTACAGTGCTTTTCTTGCATACGTGGCTGACCGGGAATACCTCCTGATGCCCCAGGCCAAGACAGGGTTCCGGCTGGCTTGATGCTTCTTAACCATCTTCTTCTCTCCTCCTTCCTTCTGGATTGGCTTCTGCCCCAGTGGCTTCTTCTCACCTGGCTAAGGATATAATTCCTTAGTCCAGGGTCAAATCCCTATAAAGTTGCTGAATTCATCCAGTCCATGATGTCAGGCTCCATCTCTTGTAAAAGTCTTTCAGGGCAGGAGAGATGGTGTGTAGTGTTGGATTGTTGCCTGCTTATGACACCACCAATCTTGCCTGATCACTGTTGAGCTTCTCTGGTTTTGTTGAAGTTCAGTCTTTCCTGGGTTGATGAACGGAAGGAAGTCAGGGTCAGTCGATGGTGACCTGATGACACATCTGCTGATGCTGCCGGCTTTTCCCATAACTTTATTCTCTGCTGATGGTCATGTCAGCACATATCTTCTTTTCAAAGCCCAGAGTGGTGGAGATGGGCAACAACATATAACTGAGTTCATTGGTTGTTTTCCCTCAAAATTAAATCCCCTTGAGGTACACACTGGACTTCCCCATTTTCCTGAATTACCCACCAAGTATATGCTGGTCCCTGAGCAAAAGCAGTCCCATGAGTGGGTTTGTCTTTACCTGAAGTAGGAATAATCCAGACTGTCTTCCCCAACAATTCTTTATTTGTACCACAGTAACTTTATCCCCCTCTACAGTATGGAAAAGTTCTGATTAGGCTGGGCCAGCTCTGTTGGCAGACCCTCTAGTGTTGACCAGCCAGGTGGCTTTTGGTAAATGTGTATCCTAATGTTTGAAAGAAAGCCCCACCACCCATTGCTCTCAGTGTAGTTTTTAACAGCCCATTGTACCGTTCGATTTTCCCAGATGCTGGTGCATGGTAGGGGATGTGATATACCCACTTGATGCCATGCTCTTTGGCCCAAATGTCTAAAAGGCTGTTCTGGAAATGAGTCCCATTGTCTGACTCAGTTCTCTCTGGGGTGCCGTGTCACCACAAAATCTCTTTCTCAAGGCCCAGAACAGCGTTTGGGGCAGTGGTGTGGGGCACAGCATATGTTTCCAGCCATCTGGTCAGTGTTTCCACCATGGTAAGCGCATGGTGTTTGTCTTGGCAGGTTGGTGGGAGTGTGTTATAGTCAATCTGCCAAGCCTCCCCATATTTGTACTTCAGCCGCTGTTCTCCGTACCAGAGAGGCTTTAACCGTTTGGCTTGCTTAATTGCAGCACATGTTTCACATTCGTGAGTAACATGGGCAATAGCGTCCACTGTTAAGTCCATCCCTCGATCACGAGCCCATCTATATGTTGCATCTCTGCCTTGATGGTCTGAGCTGTCATGGGTCCACTGGGCCAAAAATAATTCACCCTTATGTTGCCAATTGAATCCCTCTGAGCCCCTTCAATCTTAGGAGCTTTATCCTCTTGTTGGTTATTCTGGTGTTCCTCAGTGGCCCGACTCTTGGGTACATGAGCATCTATATGGCGTACCTTCGCCACCAGATTCTGCACCCAGGCAACGATATCTTTCCACAGTGCAGCAACCCAGATGGGTTGCCAGTTGCTCTGCTTCCGTTGCTCCAACCACCACCACAGGGGATTTGCCACCATCCATTAGTCAGTATAGAGATAAAGTAGTGGCCATTTTTCTTGTTCAACAATGTCCAGGGCCAGCTGGATGGCTTTCACCTCGGCAAACTGCCTCATCCTCTCCTTCAGCAGTTTCTGCATCTTGTCATGGGGGACTCCATACAGCTGCCTTCCATCTCTGATGCTTTCCCACAATACAGCACAACCCATCAGTAAACAAGGCAAAATTGCTTTTCACTTTCTGACAATTTATTATATGGTGGGGCCTCTTCAGCACGCATCACCTCCTCCTCTGGTGACATTCCAAAATCTTTGCCCTCTGGCCAGTCCATGATAACTTCTAGAATTCCTGGACAACTGGGATTTCCTATTAGAGCTCGTTGCGTAATTAGTGCAGACCCCCTACTCTATGTAGCATCGGTTGCATGATGCGTAGAGGAGACCCTGCCTTTGAGCATCCAGCTCAGCATGGGCAACCGGGGTGCCAGGAGGAGCTGTGCTTCAGTGCCAGTCAGTTCTGACGCAGCTTGAACCACTTCATAGGCTGCCAGTATCTCTTTTTCAGTGGGAGTATTGCTGGCCTCGGATCCTTTGTGTCCCCGACTTCAAAAGGCGAGGGTTCTACCTCACACCTCCCCTGGAGCTTTCTGTCAGAGGCTCCCGGTAGGACCATTCTCCCCAGCTGCAGTGTAGAGTACATTTTTTACATCTGGACTGGTCCAAGTGCTACTGCATGAACTATCTCTCATTTAATTTGCTCAAAGGCTTGTTGTTGCTCAGGGTCCCGTTTGAAATCATTCTTCTTCTGGGTCACGTGATTGAGAGGGCTTACATTCAGACTGTAATTTGGGGTGTGCATTCTCCAGAACCCCAAAACACCTAAGAAAGCTTGTGTTTCTTTCTTATTAATTAGTGGAGACATTTCTGTTATCTTGTTGATCACATCTGTGGGGATCTGGCTATAACCATCTTGCCATTTTAATCCCAAAAACTCAATCTCCTGTGCAGGTCCCTTGACCTTACTCCGTTTTATGGCAAAACTGGCTTCCAGAAGGATTTGTATAATTTTTCTCCCTTTCTCAAAGACTTCTTCCGCTGTATCACCCCACATGATAATGTCATCAATGTGCTGCAGGTGTTTTGGAGCTTGCCCCTGTTCTGGTGCAGTCTGGATCAGTCCATGGCAGATGGTAGGGCTGTGTTTCCATCCCTGGGGCTGTCCATTCCAAGGTTACTGGACACTTCTCCAAGTAAAAGGGAAATGTGGCCTTCACTCTGCTGCCAAAGGAACTGAGAAAAATGCACTGGCAATATCAAATGTTGCATACCACTTGGCTGCCTTTGACTCCAGTTCATATTGAAGTTCTAGCATGTCTGGTGCAGTAGCACTCAATGGTGGTGTGACTTCATTTAGGCCACGATAGTCTATCGTTTGTCTCCACTCTCCATTAGACTTTTGCACTGGCCATATGGGCTACTAAAGGGTGAGTGGGTCCTGCCGATCACTCCTTGGCTCTCCAGACTACAGATCAGATTATGGATGGGAATCAGGAAGTCTCTTTTGGTCCAATATTGCTGCCGGTGCACTGTTGTGGTCGTGATTGGCACTTGTTGTTCTTCGACCTCCAGCAACCCACAACAGAAGGATCCCCTGAGAGACCAGGCAATGTGGACAGTTGCTTCATTTCTTCCATCATCAAGGCAGCTATACCAAAAGCACACAGGTACCCTTTTGGGTCTTTGAAGTACCCTCTCCTGAGATAGTTTATGCCAAGGATTCATCAAGCGTCTGGACCAGTCACAGTAGGGTGCTTTTGCCACTCCTCCCCAGTTAGGCTGATTTCAGCCTCCAGTACAGTCAACTCTTGGGATCCTCCTGTAACTCCAGAAATATAAATGGGTTCCACCCCTTGGTAGCTTGATGGCATCAGGGTATACTGTGTATCGGTATCTACTAGAGCCTGTGGGACTGATGTGCCAGGCCATCTGATCCACACAGTCCAATATACACAATTGTCCCTCTCCTCCAGCAGGCTGGAGGCAGGGCCCCACTAATAGTGATCATTAGACTCTCCATTTAAGTCCTGTATAAAGGGTTTAGTATTCCTTATCACAGGAGTTAGAGTAAAATCAGCTCTTCTGCTCTATCTGGGAAGCTGCTCACCAGTGACTGGAGCAGGAACTTTCTTGAGAAGATCATCATTGACCGTTCGTTGTTTTCCTCTTCAATTCATGCACCTGTTCCTCCAGAACTGAGATAGGTTTTCCATCCCACTTTCTCATGTCTACTCTGTGATCCCGTAGGTAAAACCATAGGGTGGCCCATGGCATGTATCTCCTATACCTTCTCTCTTGGGTAACAGGACGCCTTCTGTTAATAGCTGAGATGGAGGTTGGTATATGTGAGGAGCTGGATATATTGGATAGATCATCTCTCAATAGTTTCAACTCCTGGGACAGTTTTTCCACCGCTGAAATGATGAAAGGGGTGAGATTGTCTTCAAACTCTCAGAGTTGATGAGTCAATTCATCCACTGTTGGTGATGCTGCCTCACTCTAGGTCATTATGCCAGTGAGTGGGCATATAATGACTGTGCACTCCGTGTAAGTTTCCGCCACATGGGTCATGTACATTCAACTTCATATGTATCTACAGATGCATTCCCAGTATCTGGCCTACAGTAGATCATCTCTAGAATCGCTGATTCCCTCTGGGACTGGATGCCTCTCTCTATCATTGTCCATTTGGCTGAGCGACTCATAACATCATCCTTGTAGGGAAACCTTTCCTTCACAGCTGCCAAGAGCCACCTCCAAAGGCGGAGGGCTTGTTTCTCTTTTGCAATTGATTTGTCAATTCCCCCTTCCCTAGCAAGTGATCCCAGCTGCTTGGCTTCCCTACCTTCTGGTTGGTGACCATCAGCCCCACTGTCCCAGCTTTGGAGCAACCAGGTGACGATGTGCTCACCTGGAAGATGGGTGAAATCTTTTCGCATAATCCGCAGCTCAGTCAAGGTTCAGGATCTAGAAGTTTCCTCTTAGAATCATAGAATCATAGTATAGTTAAGGTTGGAAAGGACCTTAAGATCATCTAGTTCCAACCCCCCTGCCATGGGCAGGGATACCTCACACTAAACCATGCCACCCAAGGCTCTGTCCAACCTGGCCTTGAACACTGCCAGGGATGGAGCATTCACAACTTCCCTGGAGAGCCCATTCCAGTGCCTCACCACCCTAACAGTAAAGAACTTCTTCCTTATATCCAGTCTAAACTTCCCCTGTTTAAGATTTAACCCGTTACCCCTTGTCCTATCACTACAGTCCCTAATGAATAGTCCATCACCAGCATCCCTATAGGCCCCCTTCAGATACTGGAAGGTCTCCACGCAGCCTTCTCTTCTCCAGGCTGAACAGCCCCAACTTTCTCAGTCTGTCTTCATATGGGAGGTGCTCCAGTCCCCTGATCATTCTCGTGGCCTTCCTCTGGACTTGTTCCAACAGTTCCATGTCCTTTTTATGTTGAGGACACCAGAACTGCACACAATACTCCAGTGAGGTCTCATGAGAGCAGAGTAGAGGGGCAAGATCACCTCCTTCAACCTGTTTGTTATGCTCCTTTTGATGCAGCCCAGGATACGGTTGGCTTTCTGGGCTGCGACCACTCACTGCCAGCTCATGTTCATTTTCTCATCAACCAACACCCCCAAGTCCTTCTCCACAGGGCTGCTCTGGATCTCTTCTCTGCCCAACTTGTAGCTGTGCTTGGGATTACTCCGACCCAGTTGTAGGACCTTGCATTTGGCATGGTTAAGCTTCATAAGGTTGGCATCAGCCCACCTCACAAGCATGTCAAGGTCCCTCTGGATGTCATTCCTTCCCTCCAGTGTATCAACCGAACCACACAGCTTGATGTCATCGGCAAACGTGCTGAGGGCACACTCAATCCCACTGTCCATGTCACCATCCATTCTCTTCCTCCAATTCCTGTAATAATAACTGTTGTTCAGTTGCCATCCCCTCTAGTACACACATGGGGTCTTTGTCTTTCTTCACTGCATGCTTTGGTCTTTGTGCCTCACTTTTGCTTTTCACCTTGCTTACAGGTGCAACTGATATTGGCACAGATTGGTCCTTTGGTTTACCTGAACTTTCTGTCACCGAGTTTGAAGTGGCTGCATTGTCTGTCACTGGGGTTGGAGTGGCTGCAGTGTCTGTTGTCGAGGATGGAGTGGCTGCAGTGTCTGCTGTCAGGGTTGGTGTAGCTGCTATGCTTGGAGGTTGAATAGCTGCGTTGTCTGTTGCTGTCGGCATTTCAGTAGCTGCTGTGCTTGTCACTGGGGTTGGTATAGCTGCTATGCTTGGGTTTTGAGTATCTGTGTTGACTTTTGCTTTGCCATCAGATCCAGGGACATCTTTTTCCTGCTCCTTACAGAGCAGGTCCCTATAGTTGTTGACCAAGCCCCAGCACATTGCAGCACATTGTCCCTCTCTGGTATTGCCAGGACAACAGCATGCCTCATCTAAGTGTTCTGCGAATTTTTCCATATTCTGCATTTGTTCAGGAGTGAAATTCCAAAGCACTGGAGGGGCCAACTGGCTTACATGCTTTCCCCTACGATCCTACACACCCTGCCACTCATGACTGTCCAGGCTCAGGGAAGATGTCTTGGTTGTATTCTTAAATAATTATTTAACCTTAGACAAGACCCAGGCTGGACCCTGCTTAACTTCCGAGGTTGGACAAGATTGGGCATTCTCAGGGTGGTCACGCTGTAGGCAAAACATAGAGAGCATATGCAGCAACAAGCTGGTTCCCAGTAAAAGTTGCAGGGTGCTTTCAAGGGCATTTAAAGGATATTCAACATCTTTAAACCAGAATCTACTTCTACTGTAAATGGTCTGATGGGGGAGTGGAGGGTGTGAGAGAATATCTCCTCCATAGGTTGACCCCCCAAGGGAAGACAAAAAAAAAATGTGCAATTGTTGAAAAATTCCCATTACATGCCTCCCATAGTATAGAGCTGATGACAATGCTGAGAACACATACCAGCCCAGCTTCGTGACCAATGAGTCTACTGTATTACAAGTCATTACCATGAAGTACAGCAAAACAAGAACCTTAACCCAGGCCACAAAGCCAATAAATGTTATAACAGTAAATGCAGGCTGCAAGTAAAGTATGACATGCTGATACTCTGAGATCAAGCTCAACAACTCTGAGAGCAAATAAATCAACATTGTGACAAGTGACTATAAATCCAAAACAATTCATGCTTATCACAAATACAATTAGACACATGCTGGTCAGATCTGTCGTTATCTCAGTCCTCTGTGCCCCACATTGGGCACCACAAAGGACTGTTGTGATTTAAGCCCAGCTAGTAACTCAGAACCATGCAGCCACTCACTCCCCCCCTTCTTCCCCCCCACATCTGGAGGGATGGGGAGGAGAACTGAAAGAATGTAAATCCCCCTGGTTGAGATAAGAACAGTCCAGTAACTAAGGTATTATACAAAACTACTACCACTAATAATAATAACAATAAGGGAAATAACAAGGGGAGAGAATATAAAACTAAAAGGGGAAGGGGGAAAAACAATAAACACAAGTGATGCACAATACAATTACTCACCACCTACTGACCAACACCTAGCCTGACCCGAGCAGCGATATGGGCCTTCCAGGTAACTCCCCCCACTTTATATACTGGCATGACATGCTGTGGTATGGAATACCCTACTTTGGGTCAGGTGTCCTGTCTCTGATTCCTCCTGGTTTCTTGTGCCTCTCCTCACTGGCAGAACATGAGAGACTGAAAAGTCCTTGATTAGGGTAAGCATTACTTAGCAACAACTAGAAACATCAGTGTATTATCAGCATTCTTCTCAGACTAAAGATGAAAACACAGCACTGCACCAGCTACTAAGAAGGAGAAAAATAATTGTTACACGTGAACCCAGGACACCCTGTTTTAGTTTGAACCCTTTACCCCTTGTCCTATCACTACAGTCCCTGATGAAGAGTCCGTCTCCAGCATCCTTGTAGGCTCCCTTCAGATATTGGAAGGTTGCTCTGAGGTCACCATGCAGCTTCTCCAGGCTAAACAGCCCCAACTTTCTTAGCCTGTCTTCATATGGGAGGTGCTCTAAGCCCCCTTATCATCCACGTGGCCCTCCTCTGGACTTGCTTCAACAGCTCTATGTCCTTCTTATGTTGAGGACACTGGTACTGCACACAGTACTCCAGGTGAGGTCTCACAAGAGCAGAGTAGAGGGACAGGATCACCTCTTTTGACCTGCTGGTCATGCTTCTTCTGACATTAGAATCATAGAATAGTTAGGGTTGGAAAGGACCTTAAGATCATCTAGTTCCAACCCCCCTGCCATGGGCAGGGACACCTTACACTAAACCATGTCACCCAAAGCTCTGTCCAACCTGGCCTTGAATTTCTTCCTTACTTCCAATCTAAACTTCCCCTGTTTACGTTTGAACCCTTTACCCCTTGTCCTAACACTACAGTTCCTAATGAATAGTCCCTCCCCAGAATCCTTATAGGCCCCCTTCAGATACTGGAAGGCTGCTATGAGGTCTCCACGCAGCCTTCTCTTCCCCAGGCTGAACAGCTCCAACTTTCTCAGCCTGTCTTCATACGGGGGGTTCTCCAGTCCCCTGATCGTCCTTGTGGCCCTCCTTTGGACTTGTTCCAACAGTTCCATGTCCTTTTTATGTTGAGGACACCAGAACTGCACACAATATTCCAAGTGAGTTCTCATGAGAGCAGAGTAATGGGGCAGGATCACCTCCTTTGACCTGCTGGTCATACTCCTTTTGATGCAGCCCAGGATATGACTGGCTTTCTGGGAATTAAGACATTAAGTTCTCCAGCTCAGTTCAGTTCCTTTTTCTATGCTTTTAATTGGCAAGAATACCATAACAAAGCAAAAATATGACTTTTAATACCCATGTACAGTTATCTAAACTTTTAATTACAATGTTAAGGAACTCTGCATGAATGTTGGTTGGTAAGCTGCTTCTCTAAGTGAGGTTTCTCTCCCTGTTGAAGGGAAGAATTTGGAAGATGCCTCTACTTTTCATTACAAATCTGAAGTATGACTTGTTTAATTACTGCTCAGGTAGACAGTTGTTGACACTTTACCAATGAGATTGGAGGGACAAACCCCAAGTGTTTCCATGAGCTTGGGTAGGCACTGGTGTTTGAGTGTTGCTGAACATCCTTGTTATAGACTAAAACTGAGGCAAGAATAAATTGCTTGACCTGTGTTTCAGTATTGACTTCTTATGCTGTGGCATTGTCATGTAGTGAATCTCTATTTTCATTTATTAAAATTTCAGGTTGCTTTTCATGACATCATGGTTTAGTGCAAGGTGTCCCTGCCCATGGCAGGGGGGTTGGAACTAGATGATCTTAAGGTCCTTTCCAACCCTAAATATTCTATGATTCTATGATTTTTGCATACTGATCCTTTAGCCCAATTTATTTCCCAAAGAAGGCATCCTAATCTGTAATGCTTAAAGCAGAGGACAGGTGTTTTAATTGTTTTACGTAGTACCTTCAGTATTTACCTCCTTGGAAAACAGAGTGTGTGTTCTGAACTTACCACCTTGCTTTAAAATTCCTTTTTTCATTGGGATAGAGAAAGTATTAGTGGTAACTCTTGGCTAGCATGCTGAAGTGAAGGGCTGGAGGGGAAGTTGATCACTGTATACAGCATTAGTCTATTTGTTTCAGTCCTGAGATTACATTAATTTAGGCTCTTCACAGCAGCATCTTTCAGTGATTGGTGACTTCTTCAGAGTTGCCCATACTATATAGATCTTCTGTTCTACCAGGAAGGTATCCCTTTACAAAGTTGTAGTGTGATAAACTTGACAGAAATTCAGTCTACACTTTCTTGATTTTAATATTTAAGTTTCAAGTAATATACTACTACAGTTAGAGTACAGTTACTAATGCTTCAGTAGTTTACTGATGGAGTTTAATGCTTAACATAGCTATCAATGTTTTAACCGGGGCTATGTGACTCTCCTATGAATAATCAAATAAACAGTTATAAACAGCTGCAACCGAAGTACTTATGGTAAAAGTGGTACTATAAACAAAAGAGCATTCTGTATGTGGGGAGAAGAAGATGTGATCACCAGAGCTGTATTAGAACCTTATTTTTAAGTTCACGCTTTGTCTTTAATATTGACTTCAAGAAGCTGAAATGGGGGGATGACGCCAACCCACACCCAAAAAAAAAAAACAAAACAGACTCACTTTTGTGACACCTATTTTAGCATATACAGTGACTTAAATGGACCTAAAGGTGACTCTCATAGAACGTCTGATCTGTCCTCTTAAGTGCATTTAATTTACTAAGGTGTTCACACTACACAGTTACACATAAGATACTGACAGTGGTGTGGTTCTTGTTTACCTAAAAGAGGAGATTATTTTCTTCTGAAAAATAAGTTTGCAAAGAAGTTAGAAGTAATCAATCAGTGAAAGGAAAATTACTATTGCTTGGGAAAGAAAAAAACAAACAAGAAACATGCCACAGACTTACCTGCAGCAATTTATCAGCTCTCTAAATAGAATGTAATGGGAAAAAATGTATTTTATTAACCTATAACCTTCCACTACAGCCTTAGGCTGATGCAAATACAAAGTTCAAGCAGTCGCTGTAAAGGAGTTGTAAGGCATTTAACTGTATGCCTCTTACAAAATTTAAAAAGACTAAATGGAGTTCTGGAGGCTTCCTAGCTTGGTGATAATTCCAAAGAATGACTTCAGCTGATTGAAAAGTCCTCATGCTTCATTACAGTGCACATCCTGTGAACCTGCCCCTTGCATCAGGGCCCAGAAACACTTTCCCAGCTCTCAGTAGTAGCCTTTTAGTCACAAAAAAGGGGCAATCTCTAAATTGCAACTCAGAAAATACTTGCAACAAGAACAAGATGGATGAGTGAGAAGAGCGTGCAGCAAGCTCACTGCCCTGGACTTCAAAAGAGCAGACTTTGGCCTCTTCAGGAACCTGCTTCAGAAGGTTCCATGGGATACAGCCCTAGAGGGCAGAGGGGCCCAAGACTGTTGGTTGATATTCAAGGATCACCTGCTGCAATTTCAGGAGTGTTGCATCCCAACCAGAAGGAAGTGCAGCAGGAGGGCCAGGAGACCTCCTTGGATGGATAAGGAGCTCCTGAGGAAAATTCAATTGAAAAAAGAGGCTTATAATAAGTGGAAGCAAGGACGGGTGGCCTGGGAAGAGTACAGGGATGTTGTCCGAGAAGCTAGGGACCAGGTTAGGAAAGCTAAGGCCCAGTTAGAATTAAACTTAGCTAGAAATATTAAAGATAACAGGAAGGGATTCTACAGGTACATAGCAAATAAAAAACAGACGAGGGAGAATGTAGGCCCCCTCAGGAAGCTCTCAGGAGAACTGGCTACACAGGATTTGGAGAAGGCTGAGGTTCTGAATGGCTTCTTTGCCTCAGTCTTCACTGGCAAAGGCTCTGACCACACCACCAAAGTCTTGGAAGGCAGATGCAGGGACTGTGAGAATGAAGACCTTGTGCCCACTGTAGGAGAGGATCTGGTTCAAGACCATCTCAAAAATCTGAACGTGCACAAGTCCATGGGTCCTGATGAGATCCATCCGCGGGTCCTGAAGGAGCTGGCAAATGAAGTTGCTAAGCCCATCATATTTGAGAAATCATGGCAGTCAGGTGAAGTTCCTGATGACTGGAAAAAGGGAAATATAGCCCCCATTTTCAAGAAGGGGAAAATGGATGACCCAGGGAATTACAGACCAGTCAGTCTCACCTCTGTGCCTGGCAAAATCTTGGAGCAGATTCTCCTGGAAGGCATGCTAAGGCACATGAAAATCAACAAGGTGCTTGGTGACAGCCAGCATGGCTTCACTAAGGGGAAATCCTGCCTGACCAATTTGGTGGCCTTCTATGATGGGGCTACAGAACTGACGGACAGGGGTAGAGCACTTGATGTCATCTACCTGGACTTGTTCAAAGCATTCGACACTGTCCCACACGACATCCTTGTCTCTAAATTGGAGCGACATCAATTTGATGGATGGACCACTCAGTGGATAAAGAACTAGCTGGATGGCTGCACACAAAGAGTTGTGGTCAATGGCTCAATGTCCGGCTAGAGACCAGTAACAAGTGGCATCCCTCAGGGATCGGTGTTCGGACCAGTCTTGTTTAACATCTTTGTCGCTGACATGGACAGTGGGATTGAGTGCGCCCTCAGCAAGTTTGCCAATGACACCAAGCTGTGTGGTTCAGTTGATACGCTGGAGGGAAGGAATGCCATCCAGAAGGACCTTGACACACTTGTGAGGTGGGCTGATGCCAACCTCATGAGGTTTAACCAAGCCAAGTGCAAGGTCCTACACCTGGGTCAGAGCAATCCCAGGCACAGCTACAGGTTGGGCAGAGAAGAGATTCAAAGCAGCCCTGCAGAGAAGGACTTGGGGGTGTTCGTTGATGAGAAAATGAACATGAGCTGGCAGTGTGGGCTTGCAGCCCAGAAAGCAAACTGTATCCTGGGCTGCATCAAAAGGAGAGTGACAGCAGGGCAAAGGAGGTGATCCTGCCCCTCTACTCTGCTCTTGTGAGACTTCACCTGGAGTACTGTGTGCAGTTCTGGTGTCCTCAACATAAAAAGAACATTGAACTGTTGGAACAAGCTCAGAGGAGAGCTACAAGGATGATCAGGGGACTGGAGCACCTCCTGTATGAAGACAGGCTAAGAAATTTTGGGCTGTTCAGCCTGGAGAAGAGAAGGCTGTGTGGAGACCTCATAGCAGCCTTCCAGGATCTGAAGGGGGCCTATAGGGATGCTGGAGAGGGACTCTTCATTAGAGACTGTAGTGACAGGACAAGGGGTAACGGGTTAAAACTCAAACAAGGGAAGTTTAGGTTGGATATAAGAAGGAAATTCTTTCCTGTTAGGGTGGTGAGGCACTGGAATAGGTTGCCCAGGGAGGTTGTGAATGCTCCATCCCTAGCAGTGTTCAAGGCCAGGTTGGACGAGGCCTTGGGTGATATGATTTAGCGTAAGGTGTCCCTACCCATGGCAGGGGGGTTGGAACTAGATGATCTTAAGGTCCTTTCCAACCCTAACTATTCTATGATTCTAAAAACTTGCAGCTATTTTTGTAATATGACTACCACCATACTAAGCACCCCAAGGGAGATCCACCACCAATGTGTGTTGGCCTGGCTTCAAAGCATGCCAAACACAACACCTCTTCCAAAATACAAAAAAAGTGCAGGTTTCAGTACCGCACTGCATTTTTGTTTACCTTGAACAGTTAAATCATTCATCTTGAAATGTCCATTTGCCTGCAATAATCAAAAGGTGATGCCACGTTGATGTGATGCTCTTATCAGTTTAATGGAAAATGAATGTTAATTCAGGTTAACCTACTGAGTTAAGAATAACTATTCATGAATGTTCTGTAAACTTCAGGTATAATCTGAATGAGAGGTTTACTCCTGTATTTTCTGGTTACCAAGTGAGAGACGAGTTTTAATCTGTGTTTAATAGTGGTTTAACTTCATGTTCTTTACCAGTTTTGTTTTCTGTGCCTCAGGAAACTTTCTTCCCCCCCCCCCCCCCCCCCCCCCTATTTGAAACTTGTGACCTCTGTTTCCTTATGTGGAGCAAGGGTGGAAGCAGAAAAGAAGAAAAACTTGTCCAGATTTAATTCTTAAACTAATGTTTTAGTTTAAAGAATGTAGGAGTCTTTCATACCAACCTTTACTACAGTGAACACTTGAATCGAAATCACCACTGGCAGAGTAAAAGCCAAGTGCATCCTCAAGTTCTGAAAACACAAGAGTACCCACAGTAGAGTGACTGCTGGACTGTCACCTTTACCTGGAAAGATGTTAAAAGCCTTTCCTAGAAGTTACTCAAAAGTACCTAAGTACTAGAAAAATTGAGGTGATGCTACAAATTACAGTATGCCTGGGTTACTACCTGTCATCTTACACATTATTGTCATGTCAGAGCACAGGACTGGAAATAAGTTCTATTCCTGTGGCAGATTTATATGCCACCACAGAAATCAAGTTATATGCCTTAAAGTGCTGTTCAAGAATTTAGAAACTCACACTTCAGCTTAATTGCAGAGTTAGATTCAAGGAGATTGGTACTGGGAAGACTAAAGATGAGTAGTAAACACTACATTCTGCTTTTGTGTGCATGGACAAATGTCATTCGAGGTCTATATTTACAAACAGTTATGAAAAAATCTCAGAGTCCTATTTAGAACAGGAGAGTTATAATTTATTTCCTACATAGCAACCTATTACTGTTCATGAACGAAGGTTGGATGTTAATTAAGCCTTTTATAAAGAAGTTGGAAAAAGAATTTTCTTCTGCTTTTGTATCCTTCACAGAGATAACAGGAATTTAATAATACATATCATATTGTAAGCTTTTACATAAAAACATTTACTGGATAGTATGCAGCTTTATTAAGACATTATAGACATTCTCTACAAGCTTCAGAGGAAGCAAGCAAGAGCTGTCATGAATATTCTGTAGTCACAGACATTTCCATTAACTTGGTTTAGCTATTGCCTTTCCACATAGTGCAGTCATCTTACTCTAAGGGGGAAAAAATAATTTTAGTTCACGCTACCCAACAGAACTTGACAGAAAAAAGAGAAAAGTCACTATTGCTAATGCAAGCAGCAAGCAAGCACTCCCTCATTCTTTACCTACAGAGGCAGGTCCGTGTTCTAAAACACAAAGCAGTTTCCAGACCTGTAGCTTAAAAGTAGTTACATTCAAGTCTGTAAATACCTGCAAGACTGTAAATTGATTAATATTTCTTACATCTAGATAGACTTCTAGTGCTTCACATTACTTCATCCAAAAGTCCAGGTACCCTTATTGTCAGAAAAGTCAGGCACTATGTGCTACAAAATTCTGTTCAACTTCATTCTGATTCAAAACAATTTACTTCCCTGCACCAAAGGTAAGGCCATTACTATTCAAATGCAACAGAGAATTAACAGGAGTATAGTTCTTACTCAGCAAGGGACAGAGAATAATAGATTATAACAGGAATTGAAACTTGGCTGTAGCTTTGTGAGCCTTTGTGAATATGAGATAGAGAATGGCAGGAGAGACACCAGAGCCATCTAGAAGGAAGAATTTATGCTTCTGCCCCCCTCCCCATGCAATTACCAAACTGCGCATGCTTATTTAAGTGCATTTATTTTTACGGAAATCTGTGTGCCGCAGTTCTCCCCTCCCTGTTCCTCCCTTGCCCTATTCCTCCCTCCAATTTATGCCGACCAATTTAGACTTAACCTCAGAAGAGTTCAAGCACTTCAAATCTGCATTCATGACAGTATCTCACATGAAAACCTGAGACTAGGTGTCTGAATATTTTTATGTAAGCCTACTAGTTTAAGCTTACTACTAGTTTATGAATATGCTGTACTGTATCTTGATTTAGTAGTTGCACATCAATATTATGGAGGTCTCTATCAGCCATACAGTGTCTACACATTAAGAGAAACATTTTTAAGACAAAAACTATTCTGACAGTTTTTACTTGCATGGCCGACTTTTCTAAAAAATCACGTGCTTCCCTGCTACACTGAAAAACTTGAGCAACCATTTTAACTTCTGTTTAACAGTAACTCGTTTAAGGATAGCAAGAGCCATCACTCTCAGACTATTCACAATTTATCAACTACTGTAAGTTGAAAATGTGTTTTTTTTTAAACCCCAAACAAATAACCTTGATTCCTGTCCATCAGCCAGATGAATGTTTACAAACAGAAGTTTTATCTTGAGATACTGATTTACTTCTTAGTAACATGACTTGAACTCTTCCACTGGTAGGTACAGTTCTTGAGACAGTCTGTTGTAATCCAGCACTAGAATACAATAAAAATGTTACTCTGAGGGTAACTTCCTATGCTCTGCAGGAATTTTTCAAGCATGAAGCAAATGTAAATAGGAGCAAACATCCCTAATAGAAAGGCAGTCATGTTTAAATGCTTCCAGTTCTGCCAGAAGACTACAGGAAGTCCATCCATCAGCAGCATGTACTAGCACCACTTGGTAACATTCTATAACCCTGAAACACTACAGTAACCTCTGAAGCCTGTGTACAGGCCAGTAAGCAAACTGACATTTGCACCACTTGGTAACAAGAATATCTACTCTCCAGTATCAACAGTGAATGCTTACAGGTTTGGAAAGAGGAAACTTCATGCCTCAGGGCTTAAGATAAGGTATGTGCTGTATCTGTCTACTACAGAGGGAGATACTATGAAATGCCGAAGCTGCTAACTCTGATTGGTACAGAGCAAGCCTTGTGCCATACAAAATTCCTAAGCTTATTTCATGATACAGTTGTTCACATTCCACTTAAAAATGTAATATTTGGGTATGTTCTACATGGAAATGAACCTCTGATATTTATAGCAGGCCAAGGTGAAACTAAGCCACTTGCTGGTTTCATGACCCATTTAAGTTCTCCATCCTTCTACTTCAGCTGATGACTTTTGCCAAAACCAAACTCTGTAGTGTGTGGGGAATGATAATAACTGAAAACCTTAATGGTTCAATATGCAAAGAACTGATCGTAAGTTTATGTGATTGGGGGTTGGGGGGGATGATTTTTATTTTTTTTTAACACAGTGGTATTGGTGACATTTTAATTAAGTTTGGTCTCTGAGAATTAGTTTAAGCTGTAAAATATACCTTCACACAACAGTGAGTGGGAGTAGAATTTATATTCTAAATCTGTTGGTGTTTTTGGTTGGGTTTTTGTTTGGTTGGTTGTTTTTTTTGAAACTGGCTTAGTTACAGCGTCAAATCCTGTACCTCTGTAAGAACCTAAGTTAACACCCACACTCAGAGCAGGAGGTGTGTGACTGGTTCACATCCCCACTACCAAGTGGCAGACCATGAAGACCTATTAAGTCTAGATTGATGATGATTGATATTAATGTAGATCTATAGTGTCTTGGTATTTAACAAAGTTATTTATTAAGAACAAGCCAAAAAACCTCTTACCTTTTAGATATCTTTGTGGTGGCTTTGAAATTTGTGGTGCTACATTCATAAGTAAGAGACTTAACAGCCTCAGTCACACCTGAAGAACAGACCTAATTAAAAAAAAAAGATAAAATAGAAGTGGTTATTGCTTTTGTTTATTTCTTTTATTTCCTCATCTACTTCTACTGTAGCATTTTAGCTAGGATGAAGGCAGACAGCTAGTGGATTAAAGAATGCTGAAGTGCTCTACAAGAGGCATAGTGTATAAACATGTGAAGAAGCCCTCCTGAGACAGACATGATATAATGGGACCTAACACCATAGGGGAATGAAAGTCATTTATGTTAGTAGGTAAGAGAGGGATGCAATACCCGAGTTGGATATAATTAAGATAGCACCCACAGCTTTATATTTGAGTGTGCAAAGTTTCCTGGGAAGTTTCTTTTTCAGCAGGAAGTAATTTTTCTAATTAGTTCTCAGGATATTTGTCCTGTGTGGTTGACCTGAATCCATAGAACAAAATTTTCCAGTTTTGAATTTTAACTCAGTTCACAGAAATCTTGATGACAGAAATATACTTCACTATTCCTCTAATCTTCCTTTCCTCACACACATTTTGGAGATATTGTAAGGGTATGTGGGTTCAGTCCAGCGTCAGTGTATTTGAATAAAATTAACCTTCAAAGACTGAGATTTTATAGACTTCCCCAGGCAAAGAAGCCTTCTCTAGTTAATTTTGTTGGGCCAAAAGCTCTGTAATCCCAATTTAAGAAAGCAATTAAAATTTCTTTTAGGCACATTAAACACTGATAAGTTGTTTAACTTGCATTTCTCTGAAAATAATTTGAATGTATCAAGTAAGTGTCAATGGATACAAGTATGCACACTGGAGCTGCAGGTGTAGCAAGAGCTTCTAAAAAAAATTCATTCATATATCCACCAAGTTTTTAATTCATTAGATCCTTTAGTGAGACTTGAATTTGGTCCATCATGACTGTAAGCAGCTTTAAGGCATTTTTGCAAGCCTGCATTTCCCTACTAATGACACCTTGTCGTGGTTTAAGCCCAGCTGGTAACTCAGAACCATGCAGCCACTCACTCACTCCCCCCCTTCTTCCCCCCCACTCCCAGAGGAATGGGGAGGAGAATCAAAAGAATGTAAATCCCACAGGTTGAGATAAGAACAGTCCAGTAAAAAAGGTATAATACAAAACTATTACTACTACCACCAATAATAATAACAATAAGGGAAATAACAAGGGGAGAGAATATAAAGCTGAAAGGGGAAAGGGGAAAAAAAACCCCAACAAACACGAGTGAGGATCATCACCCACTGACCAATACCCAGCCTGACCTGAGCGGCAATCTGGCCTTCTGTGTAACTCCCCCCAGTTTATATACTGGGCATGACGTGCTGTGGTATGGAATACCCCTTTGGCTACTTTGGGTCAGGTGTCCTGTCTCTGCTTCCTCCTGGCTTCCCACTCCCCTCCTCACTGGCAGAGTATGAGACTGAAAAGTCTTTTATTGGGGTAAGCATTACTTAGCAACAGCTAAAAACATCTGTGTGTTGTCAACATTGTTCTCAGACTAAAGATGAAAACACAGCACTGCACTAGCTACTAAGAAGGAGAAAAATAACTGTTACAGATGAACCCAAGAGACACCTCCATTTCAGCTATGTAATAATTATTACAGAACAATTCATTACTCCTAACAGAGCAAGAGGTTTCCCTTACAGACTCTCTTCCATTCAGTATTGTTTGGAAATTTATACTGATAGCACAGATTCAGGACTGTGCACCATTCAGTGAGTGAGAGGTACCACCACATCCCTTCATCAGCTAGAGGTGCTTTTTTGTTCAGGTTTGTGTCACTACAATGCATCTGATTCAGGCTTTGGAAAACATCTTTATCAGATCTATTCCTTTTAGTCTCATATTTCAGCTATTTCATTTGAAAAGAATTGTATTCAGCATTCATAGATTCAGGTGAGTTAAGCCATCAAAAATCAGTCTTACCATTTAAAGTTTAAGTTTGCCATTTAAACCAGACAACAATGAAACCAATTACTTTGTTTTGGAAATCTGAAAATGCATATGTAAGACTGCAGTTAAAAGAAGTGCCATTTTAAGACAAAATTATAGATATTTCCAGGGAGCAATACTGTAAGAATTCCCTAGCAAAAAAAAAATCCCAGCACTTAAGCCCCATAGTGCTGCCTTTTATAAAGTTCTACATACACATAAAATGGCAAGTTTCATAATGCCAAAAGTTCATCTTGAAGTTCTGTACAAACAACCACCTTTGTATTATACACCCTTCCAACTTTTAAGCTCTTTTATAATTAATGCCTGTAACTCCACATGTAATCTTTTAGTCTTTGTTGTCATCTTGCTACATACTTCAGTGTCTGGCTAAGGCACGACATTTCATAGACAAAATTAATACATTTGTGCTATTTGGTTTAGAGATCAAGGTGGACAGGAATGCACAAGTCATTTAATTATATAAAAGCATGTATTAAATCATGAAGTTGAGGTTGGGTTTTTTTTTTGTTGTTGTTGTGGGTTTTTTTTCTTTTTTAAATCAGCAGAAAATGGTTCCTCAAACCATCAAGACATACTGACAAGTCAAGAGAGAAAAATTATGCCAGCATTTGTAAATCTGTGTGAATTAGTTACCAGAAGTGCAGATATCGTATTTCATTATGAAATTAATTTACTACACAGTTTAGCCCTGCTTAGCTTAGAATACATTGGATTTAAACCAATTGATTTTTCAAACAAACAGCATGCCATTGGCCTGCCCAGTCATAAATCTTGCAGGGTTCACAGCAGGTCAGAACTGATAAAACCCTTATGTTGTTTGTTCAGAATAAACTTACTTTTTTAGGTGTTTTCTTTGAAGTGGACTTTTGTGCTCTTCATGAAACTTCTTTTTATTTTCCTTGTCTTTCTAATGTATTTCTAGTTAAGGTAACTACAATTGTTGAATAGGAAGATGTCAAGCATATTTCTGCAAACTCATTTGTTTGAAGCCTATTTACCTACTGACCTCTACCTATCAGTTCTGCTGTCTGATGGCCATTCACCTGGATCAGAGTTGAAAGCAAACTATGTGTGACACACATCACAGTTAGAAGACGCTAGATACCCCTTCAACCCCCAGACAAAATAGAATTACTTTTCAGTGCCAACATCCTTCGTATTGCATATTTTGGAGTATAAAGAGAAATGGTATTTAGAACAGTGTGACCTTCGTAAAAAATTTCTTGCAAGCAGAACATATATTGATATAAGGAAAGCAAGTGCCTGGAAAACATAGGGTTAAAATACTTTTAACTTAACTTAGGTCTAAGATAGAGAACAATGTTTGTGTTGTAAGTCTGTGGTGTGATAACAGAATTTATTAGTCTTACTAACAAGAGTGTATTATTTCTTTCCATCCTTCTAATGAGTGAATTATTTCTTACCATCCTTCTAATTATCAGTTAGTTTGGAGACAGTGACTCCCAAACATCTGCTAGCTTAGGATACTCCTTGTCTGCCCTATCCAGTTCTGCTTGCAATAAATTTTGTACAAAGGTCACACTGCTCTAAATCTTTGACAGCTATCAGAAAGCTCAGGAAAAATGGCCTAAAAATGGAACTCTGAACTATAATACATTGTTACAATTGATGTTGTTTTGAGGGGGCAAGGAAAATGGGATGAAGTAATGTATGCAGATATGTTTTTCACTTTAAGAAACCACCTGGAGTGACAGACAGAATGTGAAATTAATATAGCTCTGCCGGATTCCTTAATTTTGGCTTTGGAAAAGGACAGGGAAAATCAGATAGCTAAGCTGGAGAGATGTTGTTCAGCCTTTGATATTGGGGGAATGATGTTTAAAGTTAAGAAAAAAAC